GGGATCCTGAACAATAGTGACAAATAGCAATTGGTTAGAATCTTTAGGAAATTTAGTGGTCAAACATTGCAGAATCAAACAACTAAGAATATTTTAAAAGATATTTCAAGAAATATATATTACAAAACAGCTGAAATGAGATTAAAATCCTTACATACCCGAAGTTGACGGCTTACATACCTGAAATTAAGTTAGAGTGACTAATGACATCGAGAATTCATAGAATGTACGGAGAATTAGAGATTAAGCAATGATAAGATGAAAAATAATAGAGAGAGGAAGTTTTTAATCCATTATTTCCACTTCTCAAATAAATCCACTTACCTTTTTCAGTGTGGTAATATACGTGTAGTGATGACGTATTTATGTTATTATGTCTCGTATGTTATATTCAAAGCTCTCTGTCTGATATGCCTATGTGTTATTGATCGTTTTAGATGATGGCTTCGCACTTTGTCGTCATTCATTCTGTCCCGCTTGTTCTCGTCATTTGCGATCTCGTTTGATTCTCGTTCATCTGAAACAGATTATTTGCAGGATAATAACAATCATTGTGAGACAATTGATTGATCAAATTATATTGCATGCAGTATGGAACGATGATTCATCTTTCATCTAAATTTTCTTTTGTTAAATTGTTGCTCATATTTTTTTCAGTCGTTATGCCTTTTATCAATCTCTGTGCAATACATTTTATTGATATATTGATATTCGAGACTAACATGTATTTTCTCTCTTTTTTTGTTATCGATGAAGTTTAGAAATTAAAATTTTTAGGTTTGAAACATGCTAAGCATTATATTCCGATATTATTTGATTGTAATTTATTTGCATAATTCAGTTTTTCCAGAATTTAATCCACAATTTTTCTTTTTGCTAGAAATCCTTATTTAATTCGTTTAGTAACAATAAACTTATTGTTCATTGTTTTATGTTAGTTAGTACTTGATATTTTTGGAAGAGGGGGAGGGAGGAGTGTATTTTTGTTCCGTTTGCATAGTAATATTTGGAGCTTTTTCTCGCTTCTTAATATTTTATTCACATTCTTCTTTCTTAAAAGCATTTACTCGTTAAATATTTACTAAATTATTCTATTCCATTGTCGCTTTATATCGTTGCATCATTGAGACCATCATTTCATTAGCGAATATCGATTTTTTGTTCCAGAATAAAATAATGGCACAACATTATGGCTATGCTGGGCAACCACCCTATCAGCAGCCAGGTTATCAGAATCAGAATGGAGGAAATCCATATCAGCAAGGTCCACCATATCAGCATGGT